TGTTCATATTCTGAATATAGATTCTATATTTTACATTTTTAAGTTATCACTCAATATATACTTCTTTTATTGTTATTAATAAAAAATAATATATTTCACATATTTACTATTAGTAGATCTCAAAATATATAAATTATTGTTTTGTTTTAATACAATTTACCATTTTTCAACACATGTGTTCCTCTAAGAGCAACGAATCAACAAAAAGCTTATTGAATAATTTTATTCATCGAGTTTTATGATTTGTTATGAACTTTAACTATATTTCATTAAATATTATTCATATAATATTGTTATTCATTGCAATTAATTTTTTTCATTATGTACCACAGTTTCAATTGAAATAATATTATCAAATAGAGTTATAAATAATATATTATAAAAACCATTTCTTGTTTTTTTTGAATTATAACATCAATTTGATAATGAAAAATAATAATACTTACACTGAAATAATTTTTATTTACCTCATTAGTAAAGAATTAAAAATCAGATGATCATACTTATAAGAATGAATAACTAATAATAAATTTGTTCTTTATAATAACATGGGTGATAGTAACAAATATTATTTTAACAATTTTTTTCTCTAAAATTCGTTTATAGACTTAATACTATAACATTATTTTAATCACAATTAAGAATAACAATTTGTATTACTTATGTTTAATTCATTTAAACAGTCATATATTTGTTATATGAAGAATTATATTTTTATTTTTACACACATATTCTTTATCACATAGATGATTAATATTAAACTGTTCAATTATTTAATTATTATTGAAATTATTAATTATTCTTTAGTGTTAATGTTACTTGTTTTAGTTAGTTAAACAAAGTACTCTGCATGGCTATACTATATAACATGTTTTAATAACATAATTATTTACATTCACATTTTAGAGAAATTGTGATTTAGGAAATGATTTAAGAATTTTCATTATTTATTAATACTCATTTTAAACAAACTGGGATAAATAATCATTTTTATATTTTAACTACAAGCAATACCATAACCTATTTTCATAAGTTATTTTATCTAAATATAGAATTTGATTAATATTTATTCTTGACTATACGACTTCAATGGTTTTCATTTCTTAGTATTTAATACTTAAAGTTCTTTTTGTACTATTTTTATTCTTTTTAATACTTTGTTTTTTTCATCAAATTTCCATTAAATATTTTATTTTTAGAACAATATAACTCTGTATCAATAATGTTAATATTATTCACATATTAACCATAACTCATTATCTCTTTTTATTTTAACAAAAAGGAAATTAATTAAAAAAGCGACTATAATAGATAAAAATATAAAATAAGTTAAGTACTTAAAAATAGATAAAAATAAAAATCCTATTAATCAATGTATCAATACACATTAATGTGTATGTATGTTGATAATTTTACTCTTCAATAATATCAACATTTTAATTAATTATTTATGAGATGATCTAATTCCCTTTTCTAATAAATTTATATACTACTTTTATAATTAATAAACAATATATTGGATTTTTTGATATACCTTTTAATTCATTGCTAATTGTTCTTTGAAAAGATTTTAGTGTATACTATTTATGTATAATATCTAAATTAATATGAAAATTGTTAAAAGTTTAATATTGAAACCTTATTCAATAAATATTTTGTTAATTTTCATACAAAGTTAGTTTGTTAAAAATAGATAGGATTGAGTTTATTTAACTAACAAATAGACATGAAAAATACTATTCAATGTTTACTTAAACTAGGCTTTTGTAATATTAAACACTAAAAAACTTTAGTTATTTTCTTACACATTATATAATTCTATTTCAATAAACGTTGTCTAATCTTTTTTTATTTTATTATTTTTTATGATGACTCTTCTTAAAACAATACTTCAAAGTCTAAATATATTTTTATTTGATCATTGGTTATCTCTAATAAAGTATTTCTCGTTTCTAATCCAACTTTAGTTAATATTGTTGCTATTCCTATTCAAATTTTTGGTTGGGTTCTTTCTATCAGTTCATTCTATAGACTTGGATTTAAAGGAACATATGAAGGTGATTGTTTTGGATTTCTTTTTGATGAGTTTGTTGTTGTTGAATTTTAGATTTAAATATCAATTACATCCAAAAAGATATTAATAATTAGAATGATAACTTCATTCCCATTTGGATTTGTTCCACACCCAATGTATTTTGGTGGTGCTCTTTTGTTTATTAGTTCTGCTTTGTATTATTATTCATCAACTGGATTGATCCTCTCAATTTGGTCAATCGTCGTTTATTGCATTTTCTCATATCTTGTAGAACAACCACTTACCATTTTAATTTATTCCAACAAAAAAACACAACACGATGAGAAGAAAGAAGAGTAAATTAGAAATACAATAAATTCACTTTTTTAGTCTATGTTTAATATTTTTGAACCTGAACAATGATAACTTTTACTAAATATTCCATCTCCTGATTCTTTGCTAAAATAACGACATTCATAAATTCCTCTTTTAAGTTCTGTTATATTCATTTCTATTGGATAATTCATTCTCATTGGTGTACAAATGATGTAATCTTCATTTCTTGTTGTGGGGTGATATGGATAGATTCCTATCCATCCCATTTCTCCTTCTTCACTTACTCTTACTTCTAACATTCTTTTACTATTATAACAAATAATATT